TTTTTTTTTTTAGTTTTCCTTTTCGTGGCTACGTTTGGGTTGTTCTGCTTTGGTGTGCAGGTATCATGAGCTACAACTATACTTTTCCCTATTCGCACACCCAATATTGGGTTAACGAGCCGAGCCATTCCACCGGGATCACTACCAGCCATATTCATACCCTTTCGAGCAGTGTTGGGATCCCTACACAGTCGAGCAAACTTATGAGTCCCATGAGTTTAACGAGAAGCTCGACCGTATCTACGCTTTTGCAGCATCCCGGTTAGCTCAGGAGGGAGAGACCGCAGCCCGGTGTGCCCGTCCGAACCAGCCACCTCCTTACCATGATTCTTGGGACTATGGCCAGACATTATCATATCCTTTCTAGCAGCAGTGGGATTTCGGGCCTGTTGAGCAGCCATATGAGTCTTTCGAGGACTCCTCAGAGTATAATGCCAAGCTCGATCAGGCCCTTGCTCTTTTGGCATCCCAGGCTGCCCGTAGGAGCAATATCGAGTCCAGAATCGAGAACCTAGTGGAGCGCATGCAAGCCTTAGAGGATCGAGTTACCAATGTCACTCCTGAGCCCACCGCGCAAGGCAAACCTACATATAGGGACGAGCCTCGGGAGGCTGCTTTGTCATTCGATGAGAAGCTCGACCTCATCCTTGCTTGCATATCTGCCCAGTCCACTCGAGATGTGGAGATTGAGCTCGGGTGTGCTCGACTGAGCACACAAATGGAGATTCTTGCAGCACATACCAGCTCAACCAAGGCAGAAGTCGACGTCCCTCACCCTATGCTTGATACTCAAGCCCGAACGATGAAACAAATGTGTGAGGCCGAAGAAGAAGAGGATGAGCTCCAGCGAGTCATTGATGATATTTCAGAGGAGAAGATCCATGGGCTCGATTCTCAAGTCCCACCTCCCACCTCCGAGTTAAAGCACCCGTCTTCGAGGCCCTTACACTGTGTTACAAAGTTGGGAGGATTCAGTTCGACTTTCTCCACAGATGAGCTTATTATTCTGGAGGGTGATGACAGAGCTCATGTGAGAAAAGCTCTATGTCGATTACTAGGGATTGCTCGTGCTCGAACCCACTTCATCCAGAACATCGCCACCCGAATCCACTGTGCCAGCCTTCTTGCCAAACTGCCCATGCTACCACTTCTGGAAAACACGAAGGCATGGCACGACCGTCACTTCTTCCTAGATCCCGGTTGAGTTCCCCTCAGGTTTCGTCAAGCTAATGACGTTAAACAAGCGCTTCTTGGGAGACAACCCAAGTGATTTATCGCTTTCTTAGATATTTTTCTTTTGCTTTTTAGTTTTATTCTTTGAATAATTGGAGTTTTGGAGTTCTGTGTCTTTCTCGGCAGGTACCATTTATGAGCACGAGCAGGAGGAGTATCGAGGTTATGAGCTGAGCATAGGCGAGCGGCTTACACATAGATGCTTATTCTCCTTGAGGCGTTTCAGTTTGCACACTCTTTTATTTATTTTTATCTTTTGTGTTGCTTCGTGTCTTTGCTTTTGAGTTTGTGTCTTGTGATTGCTGCTAGTTTGGTTCATTATATGAAATTGCTAGGTCCTTATTTGACTTTCCTGGTTTTATGTTGAAGCAATGAGGTCATTGCCTCAATTTAAGTGTGGGGGAGTCTAGTTGGATTTTGCATGTTTATATGGTGGACCAGTCTAGCTTTAGGTTTTTGTTTTGTTGAGCATGGTATTGGTGAATTATATGAATGGTTGATGAATGTTTGATGAAATTGGGAAGTTGTGATAACGGACGTGGGTCATTGCCTCGGTTTTTGCTTGATTACTTTGAATGACATCTATTTGTCTTGTGAGGTTTTGGTCCTTTCTCTTTCTTTCTTGAGAGATATTGGTCATATTCTTGAATGATTAGAACTTGCCTTGAGTTTGTTTGAAAGAAATCGATTAGAGCTTGAAATTGCGATTATGATTGAGGCATTTTGTTTGATTAGCTCTCTTTAGCCTTGTTCTTTGATCCTACACGTTAATTTCCCTCGTAGTCCGTTTGAGCTTTGAGCCTTTTTCTTGTCAGCCTACATGAAATGTACCTTTGTTGACTGATTTGGTGATGATTGGTGAAAATGGTGTTGTTGAATGAGGTGAATTGAGATTGGATTCTATTGCTTGACCTAAAAAGAATAAAATAATAATAATATAAAAAAAAAGAAAAAAAAAACATGAGAGCTCGCAGGACGAATCGATTGGATTCTGCTCCTCTTACTAGTCGATTCGTGTTGACGGGTAATGAACATTTGGAAACTACTGTAGGACACTTGGATGACCTCCAATGTTCACACCTACAGAATGTTGTCCTTTTGATTCGATCTTGTTCGGAAAAATTTATTCTCCGAATAAGAAAGATATATATATATATATTTTTTTAAAAAAAAAAAGAGAGAAAAATTGGGTCAAGTGATGTTGCAATTCGATTAGAGCAGTGAGGTGTGGTTTGTGGAGTTGTTTGGTGGATGGTGATGTGCTATATTGTTTATTCCAGTTTGGTAGATGAGAACTCGAGTAATTTATTTGCTCGAGAATCTTGTTGTTTATTTGAGCTTCTTTTCTGGTATATATATCCTTCCTTAAACCCGCATTGCAACCCGTGAAGTCCTCTTGATTCACATATTTTGAGCTTTGATTTTTTCGAGTAATTTAAACGATTGGCAAGCATATGTTGAAACTTGAATTTTCGCCAATTTTGAGCGTACCTATCATATATTCATGTAAGAAAACGAGCGAGACATATATGATGATCTATGTTTTGAGAGATTGTCATTTCGAGGTCAAGTTGATATTTGAGGCATATGGTCGTACGGTCGTTAGAATTCGACTCAATTGCATTGGGTGATTTGAGGCTCTTCTTATTTGAAACCGTGTCAATGCTCGTGTTTTGTTTTCTTTTCTTTTTGTTCGGGACTAACAAAGGTTTAAGTGTGGGGGAGTTGTTTGTCCCATTTTTGTTGTGTTTTTCCTTGTTATTTTTCCTTTATTTTTCCCCCATTTTGAGTCTTTTGGTTTGTTTTTAGTTCGTTTTAAGTTTTATTAAATGTTTCTCTCTATTCTAGTTTTTCTGGTATTTTTCGGTCGTTTTTTGGTAGTTTGTCGTTTTTGGTGTGCAGGCTATAGGTCTCGAGAGGATTTGTTGTTCATGACAAATGGACCGGGCGGACATAGTTAAAGAGAGCAATTCGTTAGGATTTCACATGAGAAAACGGAAATGAATTCAACTTCCGAATAAGCTTGAACGAACATAAGAAGCATTATGATGCGACCAAGCCCGAGCTCCCAGCCGTCACGCTCGCGCCGCGCCGTGACGATCGCCGCGACAGCTACAGAAGATCCCAGGCGCCCAGGCCTCGCGCCGCGGCAGGCCTCGAGCCGCGGCAACATCACTCACCCGTGTCGCGCACGTTCCGCGACAGCGACAGAGACTCGCCCATCAACCCTTCGCGCCGTGTCAATGTTCCGCGCCGCGGCGCATTCTCTTCACCACGCCGCGGAAGTACATAACGCCGTGACATGCAACTCCCAGGACAGCACCCTCCGCGCCGCGTCGTCCCCACGAGATGAGCAGAGGTCCAACGCTCACCCGTCGCGCCGCGAGAAGCTCCACGCCGTGATGCCCCTCTCTGTCGCGCCGCGCAGAAGTTCCGCGCTGCGACGCATGCTTCCCAGCACGCCCAATGCCACGTCCGTGAAGGTCCTCGCGCCGTGAAGAATGGTCGTGCCGCGTCGCGGCAAACCATCACGCCGTGTCGCCACCTTACCTCGCGCCGTGTATGACTTCTCTGCGCCGTGACACTAGATCTCTCCGCACCACGTCATCATTATTTCTGCTCATATAAATAGATGTACGGGACCTCGACGAAAAGAAACATCTCTCGATCGGTGGTAAAAAACCTAGGTCCCGAGAACACCCCAAAATCTCATTCTCTTCCCTTCCTTCTTCTTCTTCCTCGTTCTTTTTCTTCAGTTAATCCTTATTTTCCATTTTTTATCTAGGAAATGTTCTTGCTTTTGGGATTAAGCTTGTAATTGATATTCAACACTTGGACTTGAGATTAATCATAAGTTTCCTTTTGTTTAATTCATGAATAATGGTTGAATTAGGAGAATTGATTATGTGTGTTGAATTGATTTTACGTAGCTAATTCTAAATGCTAGGGATAGGGGATGATTGTTCTTGTTTAACGTGCATTTGTCGGGCTTCGATTTGTTCATGCTTGTGTGAGTTGAATTGATATGAATTTGTGTTAGATAGATTGATATAATCAAAAAGTGACATTTCGATGTTGGATGCTATTGGTGACAGTTGGATGTTAATTTGTCGAGCTAGGGTTTGTCAATTCTATATGATTAGTTGATTAAACACCTTCTAATTGACTTAGCGACTTTCAGAACCGAAAGGGGAGAAGTCGTAGAAATAGGCTCACATGAGATAGATGATTTTGTAACTGAATAATTTATGTGTTTTAGATTGAAATACGCACGTGTCGATGACCCGTCCCTTGTTACGGAAAGTTATTGGGATTGGGATAGTTGGCATGTGTTGTATGCTCGAGCTTGTATGTCTATGTTCAATCCCTTGTTACGAAGAGTTATTGGGAGCGGACCGCTAGATGTCTAAGTGAGAGCGTCAATCTTGAACCGAATAATTGATTGCCCGATTTTACTAGAACTTGAATTAATTATCCCCGACTCCCTAGCTTCTTTTTCATTGTTTCGTTCGTATTTCTTAAGTAGATTATTATTTTTATGTTATTTCTTAGCTGATAATTCATCCATCCTTATTTGATTAGTATGTTTAGGATTTACTTTGCTTTTATGTGTTATCGATATCAAAACTAAATTCCGAACCGCCTTCCTCGTGATATCGACCCGGGGAACGAATCTTTCGATTCGGTACTCGGTAAAAAGAATAATTTGTACACACCAGTTAAGGTACATGGAAGAAAATTAAGAAAATCCTACAAAGAAAAATCTACAGAGATATACTGCGACAACAAGTCAACAATAACAATGGAAAAGAATCTCGTGCATCACAACAGGACTAAACATATTGCTATCAAATATCATTTTCTAAGAGAATCAACTAATGACAAGAAAAAAGAACTCAAGTATGTAATCACTGAAGATCAACTAGTGGATATTTTTACGAAGCTACTATAGAGGTCAAACTTTGAAACATTGCGCGAAAAACTTGAAATTATCAAATTGAACAATAAAGGAAAATATTAATATTAATGTTCAATTAATTTTTCCACTGCTTAGAAAGATCTAAAACTAATATTCTTAGTTATAAACTTTGTCTACACTGTTGTAAAGTTGGTCAAATGCGGTTGAAAGAAGAACAATGGAGACCGCCTCAAATGTGTATATTTCTCTTATTCTTATAATCTCTATCTCTATCTTTATCTCTATCTCTATTTCTATCTCTATCTTTATCTCTATCTCTATCTCTATCTCTATCTCTACTAACTTAAAAGTGTGAATGTTTTTGTAAAAATTTGAATAGACTAAATTACTCTTACTTTTTTAATTTTCTAATGGCTTGATTGTCATTTGTTAATAGTTTATTTAATGAGAGTGAGTAGTAATTATTTCTTAATTATATAAACATTTTTTTTTGGGTATTTTCTTTAATTTTTAGTTTAGTCATAACATTTTCAAATATAATGTCATTAATGGTTTGTAAATAATGAAAACATTACATATATGTATGTTTTGTTTCCATTTTATATTTTATGTTTTTTTTTTTTCATTTTTAGTTTAGTGGATATTTTATTTTGGTTAATGGATGCAAATTAGTTTTTTTATTTAAATATGAATTTATATTTCTACAATTTAGTTGTTTATATATTTTTCATTTTCTAAAAAATAATTTTGTTAAATTCCTATAAAAAAGTAGCTTATATTGATTAATTTTCTCATTAATTCAATTTGTGTTATAAATTATATAATGCTACTTATTTACAATATGCAAGATAAAAATGATAAAGAATAATATTTTGAATTATATGTTAATTAACCTAAGTAATATAATATATCAAATACGAGTTTAATATATTTGGGGAATATAAATTAAGAATATTAGAACTTATAAGAAATATTTATGAAAATAATTAACTAAAAACAATTATGCTAAGCATTTATATTATAAAAGAAATTACGGAATGCACAGATTGTAGTAAAATAATTAAAATAATATATTATTAATAATATTTCATTATATTTTTATAATAACAATTTGACTTTTAACTTATATTATTTTTTAAGTTATTAATTACTTCATGATTTTTATATAACATTTTGTTAATAATTAAAATAACATATTACTAAATAATATTTTATTATATTTTTATAATAACAAAATAATTTTTAACTTATATTATTTTATAAGTTATTAATTACTTCGTAATTTTTATTGGCTTAACATTACGGTAACTTTCTAAATTTCTCCAATAATGTTTGGGTAAAAATTCCTTACAAAATTAGTTCACATGCTGTTGTGTCAACTGACACACATGCGGAGAAAAAATAAATGACTAAAGTGCAAAAGGCTTGTGAAACTCATAACTAATACTACCTTATCCACCCATACAACACACAAATTGTAGTACCATAATTAAAATGATGTATTATAAAATTATAATTTATTATATTTTCATAAAAACAATTTGATATTTAACTTATATTATTTTATAAGTTATTAATTACTTCTACACTTAATTTATAAAATTATGTATTGTTATTTTTTATTTTTACTTTGAGCAAATAATACGCCTTTATAAGCAATACATTAGTTCTTCATTTTAATGTCATGTAATTGGTGTTTGAAATAGTTGCTTATATCTTTTATCATATTTGTATTTAATTTTAACATAATATTTTTTAAACTAATGCGGGAAAAATGCACTAACATGTGGTATTTCTAACATGTGGTATTTCATGTTTAATATTTATTTAAGAAACTAAATTCACACATTTTTTATTAGTGACTTGTTTTTGAATAAATAGTAATTTTATACAAATGATTTTTTTATGTATATTGACCAAATTAAGTGCATAAAATATAAATCATAAACTTGAAAATATTAGAAATACTAAAACGATTTAAAGGGCATAGATCTATAGCACATGTGTATTACATGACAAAATTATTTGCTTCTATATAAAAATATATCTTAATTTTTGTATCATGTCATATTTATAACTAAATCATCTATGTAAGATATTATTTGACCAAATTAATTAATCATAACATTTTCAAATATAATGACATTGTGTATCAAATTAAAGAACAAA